TTTCCGAGGGATCAAACTTTGTTCAGATTATTTTACCAGTTTTTTTATCGAATAATAAACAGAAAAAATGGCACATTTACCTGGACTGGTGAGGCTTACACTAGGAATTATGTTTTCTCTATTTAGCATGTAACGCACCCCGATCAAAGAACAAACTAGAACTGCCACTGTCATGGCGTGAATACCCCCGCGTACCACTTTGTCAGAATCAACAGTTGCCATTTAAAACTCAAGGACAACCACCCTGCCAAATCTGAGGTTACTAAGCCAGTGCATTGATAAGATATGAATTCTCCATGCTTCAAATGTGAAATTTTAAAATCAAGCTTTTTAAGTCAAGGCCCCTGTGACCTTGACCTTTGACCCAAAAATCGATAGGTGTCATCTAATAATCATGACTAACCTCCATGCCAAATATGAAGACTATGGGCCAAAGGAATCTCAAATTATTGGGCAGACGAGCTTTCTTTTAATTCAAGGCCCCTGTGACCTTGACATTTGACCCAGTGACCTCAAAATCAATAGGGGTCATCTACTAATCATGACTAACCTCCATGCCAAATAATAAGACTGTGGGCCAAAGGAATCTCAAGTTATTATACAAGCTTTTATAAGTCAAGGCCACTGTGACCTTTGACCCAATGACCCCAAATCAATAGGGATCATCTACTAATAATGACTAACCTCAATGCAAAATATGAAGACTGTGGGCCAAAGGAATCTCGAATTATTGGGCAGACAAGGAAAAACCGACGGACGAACGGGGAGACGTCCGGACTAATTACAGTATACTCCCCTTACAACTAAGTTGTGCGGGGGTATAAATACAGCTTTATTTCATATACAATTCGGAGGATACTGGGATCATATCCCGTGCAGTAACAACTTATTTTCAAATTGAAAGAATTTGTATATCGTCATATATAACTTCAAATATTATTGGTAATTTCTAAACACTTTGAAAATGTCATATTTGTTTGTTTGTTTGTTTCAATTTACGCCTTTTTCCAACAGTATTTCAGTCATATAGGCGGGTAGTTTTCTAACCATCGTTCCTGGAGAGTTACACCAAAACTAGACTACCTTCCTCGTGCTAAACTACCAAAGCATCTCCCGGGGATCGAACCAACGCCAGAGAGAAAATTGGATTAGAAGTCACCGACTCCAACCCCTCGACAACGGAGGCTGTCATATCTATGCAGTTTGCAGACTTGTTGATGCTATTTCCAATTGCGTGTTCCAATTGCAGTTCAATTCCTAATGATTGTGTTTTGTCCCACAAGTTATTTTACGAGACAGGGCAACATTCTTAGTACTGTACATATATTGTACATTATGCTTGGCGCTATTAATGAAATAAGAAATTTGTCTTTATTTATGAGATAAAATTGGGAAGTAAAGTTTCAACAAGTTTTATGCCCTTATTTAGTTCTGTAAGAGTAGGGAAAACAAATATACAATTAACAGATCAATTTTGTACATTCTTTTTATTATGAAAAGTCACACACTCATGCTTTCAAAACAAGCAAACAATTACATTTTACTAATATTAAAGTAAATTGTATTACATTCATAACATTTACTAAAAAGATCTAAAGGTTATATATTGTTAACAATTCTGATATAATATTATATGTCACCATTTTAAATATTTCGTTCAGAAGACCTTAATCAATTTACATCCATACTATTGTAAAGCATATTAAACATTACGATGTTACGTTTTAGTTTGTTTCTACTTTTTTCTAAATAAAGTGACAATATTTTAAACCTTTACAAGTAAAACAAAATACATAATGTTGGAAATGTTACAAAATCTAAGTCAATCAATGTCTGAATAGAGGTTTGCATGTGTATATTTAAATTCCTTTCATATGTTATATTTCCATATCTTTATCAATTAATACAATTGCTTATGAAATATAAAACAAAATCAAGAAACCACAAATCAACTTCTAATTCTTCTTTAAAATCTTAAAATTTTAACTATGTTTAAATTCATGTAATACTCGTAGTGAATAAAACTATATAAGTTTCAATCAAATTGCTTATGGCAAAGTAATGAAACATATTTGATGTCATTTATTAACTTCCAATTCCAAAATCCACTAATTGTAATAAACAAAGTTCAATAGTAAGTGAATAGAATTGTTTTAAATTTTTTAAGACTGTTAATTGCTCTAAGTGTTTATTTATGCTAACAAGTATTATAAACACCTTTAAATTTTAAACAGTAATGTTCAAAATAAATGTACATTTGACACCTGAACTAATATTAATTTCATACAGAATTGTAAAAATATATAAATGAACAGAATAGATTTGTCATCCTGTACATAGGTTTACAATTGTACTTGCTAGATTTAATCTATAATTCTAAGTCACAAACACATATGTTTGATGCATGTGTTCATGAGACATAACATATCTAAACATAAAATACACATAAACATTCATATATCTAGTAACCATTTATCCATAACATAATTTTTATGTTACCATAATTATGTCTACTTATATACTATATAGACATTTACAGTTACAAGGCACATTACGCCTCAGAAATGAATAGATATTTATTTTTCTAAAAAGGGCAAATATGTGTTGTATAATGTTGTAATAATAGATTTACAACAAGCGATATTCTTATTAACTGACAACTGACAAAAAAGGAGTTTGAAAAGAAACACGATAAATGTAGCAAAATATTAACAAAATGCTTATTTGATTTCCATATAAAATACTTATTCTTCATTACGGTATTACTTGCTAAAATGCAAAAGGAACTAAAGATGGTTCAGATATTATGGCCAATTAGAAACTTTTTGGACAAAAAAATAAAAGTGTTTAAAAAAATAAAAGTGACTGCATTTTTTAAGACTTAGTGGGTCTTTATAACTGTTTTAAATGTATGTATGGTTACATGCCACATTACATTACTTGTTATTTAAGAATATAATTTTATTTTCATAAAAAGATTGCAAAAGCTTGTAATTATACAATAAACATTTTAACATGTAATTATATGTTTACATATGTACTAGATCCATGCAGTCATAATAACATGTAACAAACAGATATATGTAACATATGTTTACATGCAAGAAACATATCTAAATTACTCAGCTGAGTTATAATAGACTTACAGATATTTATTAACATTATAAATTTATAACATATGGCTGTCGTTGTGCAAGAGGAAATTGACATCAAGGGAAATGGTATATCCCCCAAGGGAAGTCATTAACTGGAACATATTTCCGAAGTGTAGCCGAGAACTGGTATATATCCCCGTAAGGTCACTGAGAACTGGCATATTTCCCAAAGGGGCAGCCGGGAACTTGTATATATACCTTAGGGGCAGCCGAGAACTGGTATAAATACCTTACGGGCAGCCACAAACTTGTATAATTTCCTGAATGTAGCCGATAAATGATATACATGTATATCTCTGAGGTGCAGCCAAGAGCTGGTACACATGTTTTTTCCTGAGAAACCCCTGAGAACTGGAATATTTCCTAAAAGGGCAGCCCAAAATTGGTATATTTCCGCCAAGGGGCAGACGAGATCTGGTATATTTCCCCAAGGGGAAGCCGAGAACTTGTAAGTATTGTGAGGGACAGCCACAAAATGGTAGATATTCCTGAGGTGTAACCGATAAATGATTAACTTTTTGTAATCTCTGAGGTGCAGCCAAGAACTGCTATATATGTTTATCAACTCATTTCCTCCTTCAGTATTTTTTTGAGAAACCAACTTGCATGCAAAAGCAAAAACATAACTTAAATGTCACGCCAATGCGTTAGTACTTAGCTCTCGATATTCGTTGAATAGTTGAGCTTAACCCATTACTTCATTAGCATTTTGGGAAAAATGTCTGTTTTCATTGAAAAGTCTCCCGTTACAAGTTCAAATTGCTATAAAACTATAAAAACTGCTTCAATTCTAATCAAACTTGGCACATTTTCTTCAAAGGGGCATAACAAGTTATGGTACCTGTCTTAATGAAAACATATATATGCAAATGCATATGTACAAATAACTTGTTCTATATATCAAATAACTCTATAAATCATATTTCTGTTAATAATATATACATTTCCCATTGTTCTATATATCATATATTTGAAGTTTTTATGTATAGCATTCACTTGTCCTATATATCTTATAACTAGTATTCACATATAACATTCCATTGTCCTATATATCACATAACTTGTATTCATATATATATATATTCACTTGTTCTATATTTCATATAACTGGTATTTAAATATAACATTCACTTGTTCTTTATATCATTTAACTGGTATTTATATATAACATTCACTTGTCCTATAAAACATATACCTGGTATTTATATAAAACATTCCCTTGTCCTATATATCATATATTTGCTATTAATTTATACTATTCCTTTGTCCTATTCATCATATAACTGGTACTTATATAAAACATTCCCCTGCCCTTGTCCCGTTCATCATATAACTGGTATTCATCAATACTATTCCCTTGTCCTATATATCATATAACTTATCATTATTAATATCATTCCTTTGTCCTATATGTCATATTACAGGTATTTATTTATAACGTTTGCTTGTCCTATTAATCAGATAACTGAAAATCATATATCATTTTCTCATGCTATATATCATATAACTTGTATCTATTTATACCATTCCCTTGTGATATATATATTATATAACTGGTTATTTGCATGTTACATTTAATATTTTACTTCTTCTGACAAGTAGTACATTAAACATCTGTCTTATATTTCCATTAAATTTACTCATTAATTAATTCATTTGTTTATCTACATATTTTTAATGCATTATAATTAGAACATTACTTTTTCATATCATTTTTTTCTTCTAACAAATTATCCATGATCTTTAACAATAACCTTCATCTTATTTAAGATCAACATATGTATTATATTTCAATGCATTTTTTTCATTATTAATAAACACAATCTTAATATTACTTTCTTCAATTTTATTATTTAAATACTCAAAAAATGTTGAAATGACCAGAAATCAATATAAACCCTCTCAATATTTCGGATGATTTATATCTATTGTAATGAAATAATTATTCTCTAACTTTACAACAAATTCTTGTCATAAGTATCACATTTTCATGAAAATATAAAAGCAATTAGTGTGCCTTTTAACATGATATAATTTAGATTAAATACTATGCTTTAATACCTTTTTTCACTTTTTTGTTGAAAAGTTAAAACAACGATAAGTATCAAGTGTAACATGAAATAACTGATATTTATCTTTTACATACTGATTAGCATCATTTCCCTTCCCTCCTCTAAGTCCTTGTGATCTCAATGTTAACCTATCATCATTAAACTCCTCACCATGTACTGTTATATCACATAACCATAGATTTACATCTACAGTATGAGGAATACCAGGAAGACTATCAACAAACTTCTGCCATGTTGTCAAACTCATTATGACACAATCAAGCACAATGCACTTTAAACTCTTCATCTCTAAAGGTAACTGTATTATATTGTCAGTTAAAGTACATTGATCTAATCTAAGCTTACTGAGATTGTGTAACAATGGTAATGCTCTGACTAGTTTCTTTGTTATGTTGGTATGATTTAAAGGAGATATATTGTTATAATTTCTATCCAATTGAAGTTCTTTTAATTTGTAAGCTTTTGTAATAATATTTAATATTTTCTCATAATTGCTATCTTTCAAATTTATAAATACAAATTGTTCAAGGTTTGTATTATCAGCATCTATTACACTAACAGCTTTATACAAATAAAGGTGCTGAAGTTGTTGAAATTTTGATAAATTTACATCATGCAGCTTCTTGCACTTACATTCAAATTCATGAAGATATATTTGTTCAAGATGACAGGTTCTCTCAAGAAAATTACAAAATGTAGTAGTATCATCATGACTCATTCTTATATAATACATACATATTGCTACAAGATTGATCATACTAGGTAAGTTCCTAACAACTTTTTTATACATCGGGTTATACCGCTTGCCATTTGGATAGACTTTAAGAGTCAGAGATTTTAATGTTAAAGTGTTTACTTTAATTGTCTCACAAACACATTTCTTTATCTCACCAATCATCTGTTCATTACTCTTTGTACTACGACTTTGTGATTCATATCCATAATCTATTGTAATTTTTTCAAGGTGATGAAACATTGGTAAATATTTTGTAAATTTAAAATTGTGTGAGTTGAATTTTTCTACCTTAATAGACAAAACAGAGTCAGGAACAATTTGTTTCTGATCAATAGCTGAACAAACAATATTACAATACTGAGGACTATCAATGACCAAATCTCTTATATAAAATACAGTATTACTTCCTATACTACATGATGCATTTAATTCTTCCATTGACTCTAACATAAACTTTTGAACAGAATCAATAAAATATGGTTCTCTACGCCATACTGTTTTTCTGTACTCCTGAACACAAGAGTCCTCTGACACAGTATCATATATGTATTTTGAAACATGTGTTGCTAATCTAGGCTCTAGACCACATAGCATAATGATGACATTTGACTGTTCTAATAGGTCATTTACTGTTGAACATTTCTGAAAAACCTCATTCACAAACTTTTTGGCAAATTCAACATTTCCTGTACTATCTGACAAACCATTTGTTGCATTGAATGTGATACCAATATACACTGCAGCCAGAAATTCTTGCATTGATTTGTGAATGAAAGAGATAGATGAGCATTTAGGTTTAGATACAGATAAAGAAGGACATTTATCTTCTGTTAAAATTCCCAGTTTCAGACATGTTTCTCGCACTTTTTGTGATATTTTCAAATCATCAAACACAGATTTGTCAAATGTTAAGGACTTATCCTTCGGATAATTGAACAATGTCTCATAAGCCAGGTGCGACACGCCATATATAAGATGACCATTTAATCTGCATATCTCTAGATCTGTTAAATACTGAGGGAGTTCAATATTCTGAGAACTTTCCATACATTCTGTATTATTTCCTAAAGTTTTATTGATATTCCAGGTGAAATAAAGTTCTAACATACCAGTATAAGTAGCACACCTTGAGGTTTTATCTAGTTTACCATCACACCATAGACAAACCAATTGCTGCAGCATAATCGGTACCTGTTTCAGGCCAACAAGAGACTGTACCTTAAGCTTTTGTTCACACTCACTAGGATCTAATGATTCGTTCAATGCTGTTATTGTTTTTTTAATCATTTCTTGTTCATGTGTTTCATCAAACCCTTTTAATTTCAATAATTGATGAATCTCTCTATTACTTACTCTCAAACTGTGAATTTTCCATGGCCGTGATGTAGTAACAATGGTGTATTTCTTTGTAAAGTCACGTTCCGGAAGGCCTGCCTGGAACTCATTCCTAGTCCCACTGTCAAAAGACCACTCATCTAAACCATCAAGCAAAATAATTATCTTTTCAGAATCATTTTCCAGAAGTTTGCTTAACATTTTTATCTTATCATATCGCATTTCAAGCATTTCTTGGATACTTTGCCTTTTTCTGTCATGTCTAAGAGAAATATAAAACATGAAATCAAATTTCTGCATTTCCTTGACTCCTTCTAACTCATCATCTTCATTGTGCCCATCACTGTGTGCCATACACCAACAGTTGATCAAATATTTACAGAAACTACTCTTACCAGACCCTGCATCTCCAACAACATAAATAAATTTCTGTGGCTCCCCGTTCTTTGTGAAAATCTCTGACATGGACTCTATTTCTTTTTCCTCAGACTCCCCTCTGTTCTTTTCTATCTTGATTGTTATAGTGGGTGTTATATAAACGTCACTGAAGTTATAATTTTCCTCATCTGGCTGTAAAGGTATTGCTGATACTTTAAGTACATCACTGCGATAATGGTCTATCAATTGAGTGCGACAACCTGAAATTTATTGAGCAGCCAATAAAATCAGCAAAACTCACAAATTATCTTAACATAACAAGATTCCCTCACAAACTGGAGAGTTTTCTGACATTGAAATGATGATTTTGTAGTAAGTGTTGTTTTGTAAATGAATAAATTATATGTACAATATTATATGTTAAAACTAGAGGATGCTTTTGTAAAAAAGCGCATGTCTCCCCCACTGCTGAGAATAACTGTGAATGGAAACAGGAATGGAAATGGAGAAATTGACCAACGGTCACTGTGACCTTGACCTTTGACCTACTGACCCCAAAAACAATAGGGATCATCTGCTCTATAAGACCAATCATCCTATGAAGTTTGAGGGCTGTAGGTCAAAAGGAACTCTAGTTATCATCCGGAAACGAGAAATTGACCAACGGTCACTGTGACCTTGACCTTTGAACTACTGACCCCAAAAACAATAGGGATCATCTGCTCAATAAGACCAATCATCCTATGAAGTTTGAGGTCTGTAGGTCTAAAGGAACTCTAGTTATCATCCGGAAACGAGAAATTGACCAACGGTCAGTGTGACCTTGACCTTTGACCTACTGACCCCAAAAACAATAGGGATCATCAGCTCTATAAGACCAATCATCCTATGAAGTTTGAGGGCTGTAGGTCAAAAGGAACTCTAGTTATCATCCGGAAACGAGAAATTGACCAACGGTCACTGTGACCTTGACCTTTGACCTACTGACCCCAAAAACAATAGGGATCATCTGCTCTATAAGACCAATCATCCTATGAAGTTTGAGGGCTGTAGGTCAAAAAGGAACTCTAGTTATCATCTGGAAACGAGAAATTGACCAACGGTCACTGTGACCTTGACCTTTGAACTACTGACCCCAAAAAACAATAGGGATCATCTGCTCAATAAGACCAATCATCCTATGAAGTTTGAGGTCTGTAGGTCTAAAGGAACTCTAGTTATCATCCGGAAACGAGAAATTGACCAACGGTCAGTGTGACCTTGACCTTTGACCTACTGACCCCAAAAACAATAGGGATCATCAGCTCTATAAGACCAATCATCCTATGAAGTTTGAGAGCTGTAGGTCAAAAGGAACTCTAGTTATCAACCGGAAACGAGAAATTGACCAACGGTCACTGTGACCTTGACCTTTGACCTACTGACCCCAAAAACAATAGGGATCATCTGCTCTATAAGACCAATCATCCTATGAAGTTTGAGGGCTGTAGGTCAAAAGGAACTCTAGTTATCATCCGGAAACGAGAAATTGACCAACGGTCACTGTGACCTTGACCTTTGAACTACTGACCCCAAAAACAATAGGGATCATCTGCTCAATAAGACCAATCATCCTATGAAGTTTGAGGTCTGTAGGTCTAAAGGAACTCTAGTTATCATCCGGAAACGAGAAATTGACCAACGGTCAGTGTGACCTTGACCTTTGACCTACTGACCCCAAAAACAATAGGGATCATCAGCTCTATAAGACCAATCATCCTATGAAGTTTGAGGGCTGTAGGTCAAAAGGAACTCTAGTTATCATCCGGAAACGAGAAATTGACCAACGGTCACTGTGACCTTGACCTTTGAACTACTGACCCCAAAAACAATAGGGATCATCTGCTCAATAAGACCATTCATCCTATGAAGTTTGAGAGCTGTAGGTCAAAAGGAACTCTAGTTATCGTCCGGAAACGAAGAATGGACGGACGGACTGACTGACGGACGGACGGACGGACGGACTGACGGACGGACGGACGGACAGGGCAAAAACAATATGTCTCCCCCCGAGGTGGGGGAGACATAATTATCACAATTAGGGCAAAATTTACCTATTTTAGTCTTATAATATTATATGAAGCATACCTGATTAAGCCTTTTCATATTTTAAAAGAGCTTGAGCTAGGTCAAATAGTGACTTCTTCCTCCAGCTGGTTTAGGGAGAAGGGAGAAATTGGGGACATATTAGGCGTCATGTGGAGAACTATAAGCTAGGAAACTTTACAAACCAGAAATAAAATAAACACCTCTCAAATAAAACAATTCTACTATAAATCTGCTTTTCATAAATGTATACCAATAGCAAGCACAATATTTACATAAACTGTATACATGTAGAAATACTGAGTATGTTTAGTTGGTAACAATATTCAGGGCAGGTAAAGCAGTGCCACTTGCCATATTGGCATTGAATCGGACTGGTCATCGTCAATAATTTTTGTTTACCGATTTGTCCACAAGCCAGAATGATAGAGACATTTAATTTTTAGAGACATTTAATTTTGTATAGTTAGCATGTTTACTTTACGGAGTTCAATATATACAAACATCACATGATTTCTACAGATTAGTGCTCTGAAAGTTTTTAACAATCGAGTTTTCGAAATAACCACACATTTAAGATTGTTTATCTTTACTCGCAAAAACTCCGCAACAATTATCAACAATTATGTATATGCAGGTGTCTTTAATCATGCAATCGGTGAAAATTGATTGAAGCTGTCGCCATTTTGTGTAATTGTCAACAAACAGCCTCAGTATGTTAATGTGTCGCATGAACACATAATGGGAAAGATATACATAGTGATATATATACATAGATTAGACTTTGTTTATGTTGACACGCGTTCTTAACTAGCAGATAAAATGTAATTTGTTGTAATTGAGAGGTAAACAAATTGTTAACATACCCAGTGTCGTAAATAGGTATGACAGATCATTAAACAAGAGGGCCATGATGGCCCTGGATCGCTCCCCTGACCCATCAACCGCATCCAAGCAATGTCTTAGACAAGCATCCTGGCAAAGTTTGATGACAATTGAGTTAAAAAAAAATAACTCTAGTGTGTTAAAAAAGTTTTCCATATTTGGGCAATGCCACCTAATTTTTGACTGGAGACGACCCATATTCGAACTTGACCTAGAAATCATCAAAACAACCTTTCTGACAAATTTCCAGAATATTTGAATCAAAATTGGAGCCACTACAGTGTTATAAAGATTTTTCTATTTTCAGCTTCTGTCACCTAGTTTTTGACTGGAGATGACCCATCTTCAAACTTGATCTAGAAATTATCAAAACAACCTTCATGACAAATTTTCAGAATATTTGGATCAAAACTGCAGCCAGTAGAGTGTTAACAAGCTTTTTCTATTTTTAGCTCCTGTGACCTAGTTTTTGACCGGAGATGACCCATCTTTGAACTCGATCTCTATTTAATTGAGGCAAACATTCTGACCATGATCCAATCAAAACTGTGACTGCTAGACTGTTAACAACCCAATTGTTGACGACGAACGACGCACGACGCACAACGCAAACGCACGACGACGGACGCCGGACATAGCCCCATCACTATACCTCACCTTGACCACTTCGTGGTCAGGTGAGCTAAAAATCGGGCGTCTTCAAAATCGCTTTAAAACTTGTTTTATACGAAGTCGCTGATCCGAAAGCGACTTCATCGCCCAAGTCGCCCCACAGCTAAAGCCCTATATATTACATACCTGTTATAGCTTTTTCATATTTTATATATCATACCTGATTTTGCCTTTTGTTACTCTATGAAGCATACTTGATTAAGCCTTTCTTTACCTTATATAACATAGCTGATCTAGCCTTTTCATATTATATATCATACCTGATTTAGCCTTTCCATATTATATATCATACCTGATTTAGCCTTTCCATATTCTATATAACATTCCTGATATAGCCTTTTGCTATATGGATAATGAAGCATACCTGTTTTAGCCTTTTGTTACTCTATATTTCATACCTGGTTTAGCCTTTTCATATTCTATATATTAACATACCTGATTTAGCCTTTTCATATTCTATGCATTTACATACCTGATTTTGCCTTTTTAAATTGATCTTTTTGAGAACCCTGCCACAATATTTTGATGATTTTTTTCTAATGGTACTTTTTCAAGACCAAAAATCTACTGGCCCGTCGGACCACCAACCTTGCAATAATCATCTGACCGATGTTAAATTTATTGGCCTCGGGCCTCGGACTTGCACTTATTTCGAAACTGTATTGATTTTAACAAAATGGATTTTGCCTTTTCATAATCTATATGACATACCTGTTTTAGCCTTTTTATATTGTCTATAACATACCTAATTTTGCCTTTTCATATTTTATATAACATACCTGATCTAGCCTTTTTATATTCTATATAACATACCTGATTAGCCTTTTCATATTCTATATAACATACCTGATCTAGCCTTTTCATATTCTATATAGCATACCTGATTAGTCTTTTCATATTCTATATAACATACCTGATTTCGCCTTTCATATTCTATATAACATACCTGATAAGCCTTTTCATATTCTATATAACATACCTGATTTAGCCTTTTCATATTCTATATAACATACCTGATTAGCCTTTTCATATTCTATATAACATACCTGATATAGCCTTTTCATATTCTATCTAACATACCTGATTAGCCTTTTCATATTCTATAGAACATACCTGATTTCACCTTTTCATATTCTAATTGATTTTGTTGAGGAGAATCTTCTACCATGAGTCTTTTTATCTCCTACAACATAAATAATAATACAATTAATTGTGTTTTATTCTTTAAATTTTCAAAAATGTTTATTGTATGAAGAAATATTTGTATTTTCAGTCCACTTGAATAATATACTTCGTCCCAATATTCAGTAAAATTTCACGAGACAAACTTCGATTAGTTTATTTTCTGGACGTGTTGAAGTAAAATGAAAGTCCTGATTTTTCCCCCATTGTATTCTTTATAGACTAGAACATGAACCTTTACTTTAAGTGGCATTTAAACTGATTGTAACAATGTTACATCTGGGTAAATAAAACTGTTTTATAATCCAAAATACAAATACTATGGAAAAAGTCTTCACTGACAGATCAAACGAAGGAATCTGTGATGGATTCTTATGCAATGCACTTCAGGTCAGTTAAAAAAGCTTACATACCAAATTTTGAGTCAATCAAACTTATAGTGATCCAGTTATGCTCTGGACAAGATTATTAAGTAAGAAAATTAACAAAGGGCAATAACTCAACAAGAGCCGCCACTGGGCCGAGGCACCACTCAATTTTTTCACTTTTTTCTAAATCAAACAAATAAACGGTTTAAACAAATCTAAAATTAATAAAAAAATAACGAAAATTAGAAATGTGTCCATATATGACACGGGTGCCGCCACACTTCACTGTCTTGTCAATCTTATGACTCTAGGTCAACTATTTTTGGGGCTACACATTACACAAGTTTAAAACTAAAAATCTTATACTTCCTTTACAAAAACTAAATAAATCAACAAGCAAACCCAAAGGGGCATAAACACAAACCAACTGACCAACATTCTTTATAGTTTAGGAGAAAAGTTTGATATTTGAAAGCAATACATCACATGGTATAGGATATGAGTGGGGTGGTACATTAAATTCTACGTCAAAAAAGCATAATTTTGTCAAAATCCAAAATGGTAGTACAAAAACAAGAGGGCCGAGATGGTACTAGATCGTTCACCTGAACCATAGAGCCCATCCATCAATTACCTAGACAAGCACCCTGACCAAGTTTCATGACAGGTGAATAAAAAAGTGACCACTAGAGTGTTAACAAGGATTTTCCATAGTTGAGCAGTGTGACTTAGTTTTAAACCCAACTTGATCCCTTATTCAACCTTGACCTAAAAATCATCAAACAAACTTTTAGACCAATTTCCAGGATATTAATAGTTTGGATAAAAGCAGTAGCCACTAGAATGTTAACAAGATTTTTTCTATTTTTAGCTCCTGTGACCTAGTTTTTCATCCGAGATTACCCATGTATATGTACTTATTTATCTATGCATTTACATAGACAAGCATCCTGACCAAATATTGTGGTAATTGAGTCAAAAATGGGCGCTGAGACCTAGTTTTTCACCTCAGGTGACAAATATTCAAACTTGACTTAGAATTTATCAAAACAAACTTTCAGACCAATTTCCAAAATTTGGATCAAAACAGTAGCCACTAGAGTAGCCTGTGACCTAGTGTTTCATCCGAAATGACCCATGTTCGAAGTCATCCCATTAATTGCCTAGTCAAGCATCCTAACCAAGGTTGATGACAATTGAGTAAAAAAGTGACTACTAGATTGTTAACAAGGTTTTAGCATATTTGGGCCATGTGACCTAGTTTTTGACCCCAGGTGACCCTTATTCATACTGGACCTAGAAATAAACAATAAAAGCTTTCACACCAATGTCCAAGATATTTGGATCAAAACAGCCACTAGAGTGTGAATAAGATTTTTCTATTTCTAGCTCATGTGACCTAGTTTTTCATCCGAGATGACCTATGTTCAATCTCATTCAATTATTTACTTAGACAAGCATCCTGACCAAGTTTGATGACAATTGTGTCAACAATATGACCAACAGAGTGTTAAGAACGTTTTTTTCTACATCTGGGCGCTGTGACCTTGTTTTTAGGATGTCAAGGATGTTTGGATCAAAACTGTAGCCACTAGTGTTAACAAGATTTTTCTATTTTTAGCTCATGTGACCTTGTATTTCATCCGAAATGATGCATGTTTAAATCATGCAAGCAATTAACTAGACAAGCATCCTGACAAAGTTTAATGTAATTGAGGCAAAAACGTGAACACTAGAGTGTTTACAAGGTTTTTCAATATTTGGGCAGTGTGACCTAGTTTTTGACCCCAGGTGACCAATATTCGATTTTGACATAGAAATCATGAAAACAAACCAAACCAATTTCAAGGATGTTTGGATCAAAACTGTAGCCACTAGTGTGTTAACAAGATTTTTCTATTTTTAGCTCATGTGACCTTGATTTTCATCCGAGAGGAATTATGTTCAAAGTCATGCGAGCAATTAACCAGACAAACATCCTGACAAAGTTTGGTGATGACTGAGGCAAAAATGTGACCACTAAAGTGTTAACAACGTTTTTCCTTGTTTGGGCAGTGTGACCAAGTTTTTGACCCAATGTGACCCATAATTATTCGAACTTGCCCTAGAAATCATCAAAACAAACTTTCAGACCAATTTACAGGATATTTGGATCAAAACAGTAGCAACTAGATTGTTAACAAGATTTTTCTATTTTAACATGTGTAGCTCTTGTGACCTAGTTTTTCATCCGAGATGATGCATGTTCTAACTCATGCAAACAATTAACGAGACAAGCATCCTGACAAAGTTTGATGATGATTGAGGAAAAAATGGGACCGCTAGTGTTAACGAACAAATGAGGATGACGAAGGGCATTCAACGATCCTAAAAGCTCACCATGAGCTACCTCACCTTGAGCTATCTAGAACTGCCACTGTCATGGCGAGAATACCCTGCATACCACTTTGTCAGAATCAAGTGTCGCCATTAAGAGCTCAAGGACAACCTCCCTGCCAAATCTGAGGTAACTAAGCCAGTGCATTGCTAATTGCAAATGTGAAAATGTCAAAATCAATACAGTGCGGACAGTCATTCTGAAGCATACAAATTATAGTAAAATCCGCGACCTTGACCTTTGACAGAATCACCTAAAAATCAAGGGGTCGTGTGATAGTCATAAACAACCTCAATACAAAATATAAAGACTGTTCACCAAAGCATTTTTACGCAATTGAGTGGACAAGGCCCCTGTGACCTTGACCTTTGACTTAGTGACTTCAAAATCAAGAGGGTCACTAAATGGTCATGATCAACCTCCATGCCAAATATGGAGACAGTGGGTCTAAGGTTTCTTAAGTTATTGGGGAGACAAACATTTTGAAGACAGTCTCTGTGATCTTGATCTTTGACCCAGTGAACTCAAAATCAATAGGGGTCATTTACTAATCATGACTAACCTCCAAGCCAAATTCGAAGAGTGTGGGTCAAGGGAATTTTAAGTGAATGAGCGGACAAGTTTTTGATGTCAATGCCCATGTAATCTTGACATTTGACCCGGTGACCTCAAAATCTAAAGGGACCATCTTCTATTCATAGCCAATTTAAATACCAAATATCAAGACTGTGGGTCAAAGGAATCTTAAGTTACTGGGATCAAAGGAATCTTAAGTTGTTGGGAGGACAAGCTTTTTGAAGTCAATGCCGATGTGACCTTGACTTGACCTATGATCCAGTGACCTCAAAAACAAGAGCACCGCTAGGCAGAGCATTATATGCCCGAAAGTGATTTTTTTAAGTAAAGATGAAGCATTTGTAAGACATTGGAATTAAATAAAGTATTCCCTCCTTCAAATAACAATCCTCCTATGAAGTTTGAACACTGTGGGCCAAATTGAATTTAGGTTATGCTCCGGAAACTGTTTTCAGTATTAAGTTAATAGTGACCTTGACCTTTGACCTTGTGACCTTGGTCTTCTACCAAATTTGGACAATCATCCTATGAAGTTTGACTTTTGTGGGGCAAATGGGACTTAATTTATGCTCCAGAAACTGTGTTCAGTTGTAAGGTCATAAAGACCTTGACCTTTGACCTTGTGACCCCAAAACCAATAGGGGTCTTCTACCAAATGTGGACAATCATCCTATGAAGTTTGAACTTTGTGGGGCAAATAGGACTTAAGTTATGGTCCGGAAACTGTTTTCAGTTTTAAGGTCATGGTGACCTTGACCTTTGACTTTGTGACCCCAAAATCAAAAGGGTTCTTCTACCCAATATGGACAATCATCCTATGAAGTTTGAATATTGTAGGCTAAATGAAACTTAAGTTATGCTCCAGAAACCAAGTTGTTAACGGACGGACGAGCAGACGTGCCACTTAATTGAACTAAGGGGCCATTTCTTTTGTCATTTTCTTTTGTTTTATAGAGGGACATGGCCCCTTATTCTATTGTTACGGAATGAACTCTATTGTTCTCTTTTGTTCTGTTTACAGTTATATGCCCCCTATCCCTATTTGGTTGCTCGGACAGACGGACGAACGCCAAGGGGTAAAACATAATATGCCCGAAATTCTTTCGGGCATTTAACAAAACGGGATCATCTACTAATCATTACCAATCTAAATACAAAATATGAAAACTGAGGTTCAAAGGAATTTTAAGTTATTGGGCGGACAAGGAAAAACCGACGGACGGACTGACAAACAAGCTGATTCCAGTATACCCCCTCTTACAACTTTGTTGTGGTGGGGGGTATATATACTTAACCGAAGGAGTGACAAGCTTAATATAAAAGTCAAGCTCAAAAAGTGAGTAATAACTGGCATCATGAACTGGCATCATTTATTTACATATGGTGTGCCTTGAAAAGCTAATAACACTGGTTTACTATACAATTATAAGTTATCTGAGAACCATGGTTATATGTTATACTGGTATAGCAACCAGAAACTAGCATGTTATACATTCACCAGTATATTAACCCAAAACAAACAGTTACAGTAATACATGTTCCAGTATATCAACCGGAAACAAACAGTAATAGATATACCTGTATATAAAACGGAAACAAACAGTACAATAAACTAATATATCAACCAGAAACAAAAAGTAATACAAAAAATACATGTACTGGTTTATCAACAGGAAACAAACAGTAATAGATTTACCGTTATATCAACCGGAAAAAAATCAGTTATTCCGGTCTATCAAACAAAATTAAACAGTAATACATGTACCAGTAAATCAACTTGAAACAAACAGTAAAACATGTATCAATATATCAACCAGAAACAAACAGTAATACATCTACCAGTATATCAACTAGAAAAAAACAGTAATACATGTACCATTATATAAACCAGAAACTAACAGTAATACATGTACCAGTATATCAATCAGAAACTAACAGTAATACATGTACCAGTAAATCAACCAGAAACTAACAGTAATACATGTACCAGTATATCAACCAGAAACTAACAGTAATACATGTACCAGTTAATCAACTAGAAACAAACAGTAATACATGTACCAGTATATCAACCAGACACAAACAGTTATACATGTACCAGTATATCAACAAGAAACAAACAGTAATACATGTACCAGTATATCAACCAGAAACAAGCAGTAATACATGTACCAGTATATCAACCATAAACAAACAGTAATAGTTGTACCGGTATATCAACCGGAAACAAACAGTAATACATGTACCAGTAAATCAACTAGAAACAAACAGTAATACATGTACCGGTATATCAACCAGAAACAAACAGTAATACATGTACCAGTATATCAACCAGAAACAAACAGTCATACATGTACCAGTATATCAACCAGAAACAAACAGTAATACATGTACCAGTTTATCAACTAGAAACAAACAGTAATACATGTACCGGTATATATCAAACAAGAAACAAACAGTAATACATGTACTGGTATATCAACTAGAATCACCCATTAACACATGTACCAGTATATCAACCAGCAACAAACAGTAATACATGTACCAGTATATCAACCATAAACAAACAGTAATACATGTACAGGTATATCAACCGGAAACAAATAGTAATACATGTACCAGTATATCAACGGGAAGCAAACAGTAAAACATGTATTAGTATATCAATCAGAAACAAGCAGTAATACATGAACCATTATATCAACAATAAACAAACAGTAATACATGTACCGGTATATCAACCGGAAACAAACAGTAATACATGTACCAGTATATCAACCAGAAACAAACAGTAATACATGTACCGGTATATCAACCAGAAACAAACAGTAATACATGTACAGGTATATCAACCGGAAACAAATAGTAATACATGTACCAGTATATCAACGGGAAGCAAACAGTAAAACATGTATTAGTATATCAATCAGAAACAAACAGTAATACATGTACCATTATATCAACCATAAACAAACAGTAATACATGTACCGGTATATCAACCATAAACTAACAGTAATACATGTACCGGTATATCAACAGGAAACAAACAGTAATACATGTACCAGTATATCAACCAGAAACAAACAGTTATACATGTACCGGTATATCAACCAGAAAAAACAGTAATACATGTACCGGTATATCAACCAGAAACAAACAGTTATACATGTACCAGTATATCAACCATAAACAAACAGTAATACATGTACCGGTTAATATCAAACAGAAACAAACAGTAATATATGTATTGGTATATCAACCAGAAACACACAGTAATACATGTACTGGTATATCAACCGGAAACAAACAGTAATATATGTACCGGTATATCAACCAGAAACAAACAGTAAACATGTACTGGTATATCAACCAGAAACAAGCAGTAATACATGTACCGGTATATCAACCAGAAACAAACAGTAATACATGTTCTGGTATATCAACCAGAAACAAACAGTAATACATGTACCGGTATATCAACCGGAAACAAACAGTAATACATGTACCGGTATATCAACCAGAAACAAGTAGTTATGCATGTACTGGTATATCAACCAGAAACAAACAGTAATACATGTACCGGTGAAACAGGAAATAACCAGTTATACATGTACCGGTATATCAACCAGAAACAAACAATAATACATGTACCGGTATATCAACCGGAAACAAACCGTTATACATGTACAGGTATATCAATCGAAACAAACAGTAACACATGACCAAGTATTTCAACCAGAAACAAACAGTTATACTCGTTACATTACCAAGTATATAAACCGTAAACAAACGGTAAAACCAGAGATCGGGAAATAATTTTTGCAAATGAGACTATGTCTCCATATTCTACAACAATGCACTCGCCATTCTTATTATCTCCCTGTGTATTTTCAGATTGAGGGCGCCATTTTGTTTGAAAAATCTGATAAATAAAACATTTTTTTGGCGATTTTTTTCTTGTGAAAACTATCAAAAATGAAAGAAAATGGTGTAACTAATAAAATGAATCCGAACACCAATATATTTCATTCAGTCGTTAACGCTGTACAGGCGTTTATAGTTTGGTTTTTTTTGACGTCACAATGTAGCGCCAAATAGCACGTGCCAAACAATCAAATCAAGTACGCTATTTTAATGTCGCAAGCGAGTTAAGTTTTACATTTATTTCACTTTCAATAATTTGTATTTCGCTTGAAAAATTATAGAGTGAAATAAAATAAACAAAAAAAGTTTTATCAATGTTTTCAAAATTCGTTATTCTCAAAATGTTTCTACACACGTTAGATTTAACGACAGTTCTTTTCAACCCACTGGAACAGCCTTCAAAGAACGTTTCTATTGGAAACTCTGAGGCGAAAACAAATTTAACAACCAAACATAAAGTCCAACTTTATAATGACAATAATTATATTTTTTCTTGACGTGTTAGAATGGATATAGATATTATTTCTTTGTGCATTATTGTATAACAATGCACGTTTTTCGTTCAAATGCTTGTAATTAATTACTCAGGCCTATCGGCCTTCGTGATTATATTACTAAGCATTTGAACTCAAACCGTGCATTATTCTACAACAATGCACTCAGAATAATTATTGACATTTTATAATTTCCTTAATATATGACGTAATGTGTAATGTCCATTTTTTTTATTTGCACTGAATGGCTCCTAAGTAGCATTCATTGTTGTCTTTTGGGACTCATAGCATACAGAAGTCATGCAGTTCAGATATCTGATTGGCTAGTGACCTGTCAATTATTGTAGTTTCAAAATAAACATCACTTCAGCTCATGTTTTACTTTGTTATTGTTAAGTTTTCAAAGGCAGATTATGATGACCTAGATTTACCGCAGATTTTTCTGTCAGTGCAACTTTTAATAGTGAAACATTTTTCTGTGGATACCAAACATGATTTTAAAGATTATTTTTGTTAAGGAATGAAGATACTAAAAAAAACAATGAACTTTTTCTTCTAATTTTTTTTTTTTTTGGACTGACGGGTTTTGAATATGTCTGACGGAAACGACAAACAATCTTTTACTTCCCTAGGAAGAAAGCAAGCTAATGCTTTAATAACTACAAATGTATGGGAAATCTAAACTTTTGAAATTATTTTAGACATCTACAAACTGACTGTTTTGCTTTCCTAATCGACAGAATATTAAAAATATTTCAAACAGAAAAGCATAAAAAAATTGACGGTGCTAACTCATAGCTACTGTACCACGTGGTGTTGACAGATTATAAAATTGGCTTAACCTGGTTTAATGCAGATAATTAGTCCTACCTACTGAACCTGTAGGCGGAGCAAACAAATTTGTCACTTTGAAATTTATTTGTTGTCGCTAATTGATTGACAAACAGTAAGGCTTTCATGCTTTCACTGAATTTCTTGCAGGTCAAATTTGCATTTTAGAAACAACTTGTCTCCTAATTGTTTATTCATGCAACCTAATGTCATATCTGCATGCATATCAATGTGACTAACATCATTTTAATGCGACTATGTTGCAGGTCACGGGACTTTCCCGATCTCTGTAATACATGTACTGATATATCAACCGGAAACAAACAGTAATACATGACCAAATATATCAACAGGAAACAAACAATTATGCATATACAAGTGAATCAGCATACTTAGTATATGGTTACTGATATATTAACTGGCAATAAACAAAAGAAACACATTCTACCTCTTTTTGCTCTGTCTCAAGAACAGTAAATTTCCTTTTCAGTTCTAAATGTTTTTTCTCAGCTTCCGACATCTGTGCTTTAAGTTCAGTTAATCTATTTTTCAGGTCCTCATATTCTTCTTCAGACTTAGTTGCAGCATTTTCTGTTGATTTTAAAACTTTTGCCATTTCATCTTTGATTTGCCTCAGAATATCTTCAAAGTCTTCAGTAGTAATAATGAAGCCCTTTTTCTTCAGCTGATGAAAATAAATCAGTTAGGCCTATATTACATTTTCTATCATAAAAAAGTGTAGCTACACATGAATCTGATTTTAAAAAAAATATCTTCAATAAAGCATATCATATATAAGGTCAAACTTAATCTAAAAATTACCTCAATTGTTTTTTATTTTAACTCACATTCTTTTTCTGAGGGCTTCTAAAATCTGCAGGATGTGTGGTAAAGTCATTTGATCGCCAGACTTCTCTATTTTCTTCACATTTGTTTTTCTTACTTATTTCTAACAAGCTTAAATACGTATTTACATGTTGTAGGTTTTTTTATTTGATTTCATCAAGATAAGTTAACTTAAGGCAGTTTTACTTAAATTTGACTAAAATTAGAACTGCCAATGTCATGGCGTGAATACCTCCGCATACCACTTTGTCAGAATCAACAGTGGACATTTAGAGCTCAAGGACAACCTCCCTGCCATATCTGAGGTTACTAAGCCAGTGCATTGCTAACTTGTTATGTATTCTACATGCTTCAAATGTGAAAATGCAGTGTTTTCTTTTGGTGCTGGTTACGGACAGATTGGGAAAAAAATCCGTCGGTTTGACTCAAATTAGGAATTTTACATAAGAGGCAAAATATTCTTTGGGAATTTCTTTTATCCAGGACGACATGAAAATTATGCATATAAAACCATGTATTATTAACTTTAATGATTATTTTTGCTTCTTGATGTTGAAAAAAAATGATAATCATAACAAGTGTACATATGTGAAACACTAAAAGTAGTACGAATATCACTCATGTGGTTATACTTGGTTTTTATTGCATTTCACTTATCATTGGCATTTCTGTTTTTGTTTACCTTTAAATTTGCCCATTTTGAGGAAATTTTCAGTGTTATTTTGGGAATTTATCAGTCATGAATTGGAACATTTGTTGTCTATTTTCTATTGGGAACGGTGCCGTTTTTTTTGGTTTTTTTTGGTATCAGTTATATAAGGAAAAACAAGAATTTGTAGCAGAGTTGCCAACGTCCCCCGTTTTGGGGAAGTTTTATATGAAGCATAAAATTGTACTATTTCAAAAGCTTGAGGTATAGATTTCAGGACTTTCAATCCAAAATTATGATCAATGCTAGATCTGCAAATGCAACAATAAATTTATTAAAGAAATACTAGTAAAATGAAACACTGAATTTAAAATTCTATCATGTTAACCTTTGACCTCTATGTGTGACCTTGACCTTGGAGGTAGGGGTTCAGATGTTGTGCATGACATACATGTATCGTCTTATTGATATTACTATTTGCTCCAAGTATTTTCAAAATCCCTTGAATTATGTAGAAGTTATAAATCGAACAAAAAATATACCCTATAACAGACTATGTCAATCTTTGACTCTAAGTGTGACTTTCGAGGTAAGGACCCATGTTTTGCGCCTGACATATCATCTTATTATTGTGATAATTTGTGCAAAGTATTTTTAAAATCCTAGATTATGGACTGGACACAAAATATACCCTGTAAATTTTTTACCTCTACATGTGACCTTGACCTTGGAGGTAGGGACATATGTGTTACGCATAACATATCATCTTATCATTATGACTATTTGTGCCACGTATTTTCAAAATCCCTTGATCTATGAAGAAGTTATATACGGAACACAAAATAAACCATATAACAGACTCTGTTAACCTTTAACCTGTAAGTGTGACCTTAACCTTGGAGGTAGGGGTGCAGGTGTTGTACCTGACATATTGTCTTATTATTGTGACTTTATGTGCCTAGTTATTCCAAAGTCCCGAAGAAGTAAAAAATATACCCTAAAACAGCCTATGATAACTTTTGAACTCTAAGTGTGACCTTGAACTAGGTGGTAGGGATGCAGGTGTTGCGCATGACACATTGTCTTATTATAGTGACTATTTGTGGCAAGTATTTACAAAATCCGATGATATATTAAAAAGTTATGGACTGGACACGAAATATACCCTGTAATCTTTGAAAAGACCTCCAAATGTGACCTTGACCTTGAAGGTAGGTGACCGGTTGTTGCGCATGACACATTGTCTTATCATTGTGAACAATTGTGGCAAGTATTTACAAAATCCCTTCAAAGATAAGAAGGTTATGGACAGGACACGACATATGCCATCAAAAAGACAATGCTGACCTTAAATGAGCAAGTGCGACCTTGACCCTTGAGTTAATGGTCTGGTTGTTGCGCATGACACATCGTCTTATTATAACAAACATTTGTGGCAAATTATTTTAGATTTCTTTGATAAATGAAAAAGTTATGGACCGGACACTAAATATACCCTGTAATAGACTATGTTAATCTTTGACCTCCAAGTGTGACTTTGACATTGGAAGTAAGTGACTGGTTGTTGCGCATGACACATCGTCTTATTATTCTGAACAATTGTGGCAAATATTTACAAAATCCCTTCAAAGGTTAGAAATTTATGGACCGGACACGACCATCAAATAGACAATGTTGACCTTGAATGAGCAAATGCGACCTTGACCTTGGAGTTAGGGGTCTGGTTCTGCGCATGACACATCATCTAATTATAACAAATATTTGTGCAAAGTTATTTTAGATTCCTTTGATAAATGACAGTTATGGACCGGACAAGAAAGTGTGACGGATGGACGTACGGAGCCTATTACTATATTCCCCTTTCTTCTTCGAAAAGGCGGGGGACAAAAACACTGAAATGTCAAAATCAATACACTGCGAATAGGCATTCTTAAGCAATTGAGCGGACAAGCTTTGTCAAGGTCCCTGTGACCTTTGACCCAGTTACTTCAAAATCAATAAGGGCCACCTAATGGTCATGATCATCCTCAATGCCAAATATGAAGACTGTTGGTCAAAGGTTTCTTAAGTTATTGGTCAAACTTCTTAAAGTCTAGGTCCCTGTGACCATGACTTTTGACCCAGTGACCTCAAAATCGATAGGTGTCGTCTACTAATCATGGCTAACCTCCATGCCAAATATGAAGACTGTGGGTCAAGGAACCTTAATTATTTGAGCAGAGGAGCTTTTTTATGTCAAGGCCCCTGTGGCCTTAACCTTTGTCCTAGTGAACTCAAAATTAATAGGGATCATTTACTAATCATTACCAATCTAAATTCCAAATATGAAGACAGTGGGTTAAAGGAATCTTAAGTTATTGGGCGGACAAGAAAAAAACCAACGGACGCCATGACATCCTGACTTCAGTATCCACCCTTAAAACTTCGGTATGCGAGGGTATAATGAATTAACCACTTCGAGCACTTTTTTTCTATTTAACTTTCTAAATTTAGTGAAATGTGCTTCTTTCAAGTTATGATAATTTTACTCTTAACAGGTTTCAAACTTATAATTTATTTTGTACACTTACATCTTGAAGTTTCCCGACAGCTTGTTGTGCATCTTGTCGATGTACAAGTTCCTTACTATCTTGTAGAACAACTATCATATCATCAATATATGAATTAGCCTTGCTCTCCTCTAATTCCATATTGCTTGAGTGAAAGATTTCATTTCGATACAGACGTACCTAATATATAGAAAACAAATAATACAATATTCACATTAATACAGTGTTCAGCAATGAGACTAAACACAATTCTTAAGTTGAGAATTAAAACTGTAATAAAGGAGTTACTTTAAAATACTTACCATAATAATCATTATTAGTATTGTGTTTAAACCGCAGATAATATAAAAGCAAATTGAATAGAAATGGCTTTTGATGAATTTTATAATTATTTTATTGAAGTAATGGTATTTACGTGTTGCATTTGCTTATAAAGCACAAATAACCTACTTATTTACATTTTACAGTGAAGCTTAAATTAAAAAAAAGTTTTTATTTCCCACCTACAAATATTACAGCTATCCAAAAAATTGCATTGCAAACAAAAAATATTTGTGAATACAATTTTATGCATAACAATTTTGAATCATTATTCATTTCTTGCAAATTGTTTCTCTGAAAAAAAAAACTGTATTGGCCTCATAGTTATCTGGACATAATTTCATCTTAAAGTAGTATTGGGTAAACTCCTTTAAAAATTCAATAATAGTTAACCAATAACTGCACTAAGGTAATTATAATCTCTTTTACTTCTATACGCATTGAATTAACAGACTAAATATTACAGTAAAGCTTAATATTCTACAAAATTTAAAATAAGCATATAGTATATAAATCTAGTTACCTTTGAAAAAAGATTGTTTGGTCCGGTAACATTGCATCCAATATGACTATGAAAGTACTTGTTATTTATGATAACATGAATCAACCCAGTACAATCAGTGTCGTCTGCTGATATCTTGTCCTTGTACCCAGGAGCATTTATAAAACATTTGCAAACCTGCCACGGTTCTGTTGACCACTGTTGGACATCACTGTTTTTCCAAAAAGGTGCAGGTGGTATTGATGCATGATACTGTATAATGCTGTCATAGATTGCGCCACATACATTGTTTGGACAGGGTTTCTTATTATTTGTAAAACAACAGTTACATTTATCTTGTTTGAGTGGACATATCCCTTTTGAGACTCGGACATGATCTGGCTGGAGAGTTGTTATCTGACAGGTGCTGCATGGTACATTTGGTTGAGGAGTCTTTGTTTGTTGTATTTGGTTTATAATATCGTTGTGCTGCTGTTTTCCTATGTCATCACAAAATGGTGCAAGTCCCTCTTTAAGATAACCCAAGCCTAGGCCTGCCTTAACCCACTGTCGGTATTTGTTGTTCTTTAAATGTATCGCATGTGCCATCTTGAATTCTAGAGAAAAAAGAAATATTCTTAACTACAATTTATAAGAATCCAAGGAAATCCAACATTAACTATGACTGAACACAAACACTTGTAGGCCATTTAAGCTGGCCCCAGTTTAGGGGACGTGAACTTTGACTTACAATGAAGGCATTATCTAGAGGGCCATATTGGCCCCAGATTGCTAATCTGAGACTTTTTTGTAAGAAATATACAGAAGCAAATATTATTTGGGCCATATTGAGCGGCCAAAATAAATTCAACCATTTCTACGTCTCCGCAATTAATTTCTATAATTGATATCACATTTCAATCTGTGTCAAGTGAAAGGTTGATACAAAGGCAGAGTTTGAGCTGGGTCAGAAGTGACTTCCCTCATGCTGATTTAGGGAGAAGTGAGGAAATTTTAGGTAGGACTTGGAAGATATATTAGGCGTCATCTCGAGACATATTTCATGTCTTTTTTACTTTCGAATTATAAGCAATGAAACTTTACAAACCATAAAAGAAATAAGAAAAAACTCTCAAAATCAATTCAATTATAATTCTACATTCCATAAAATTTATTGTACAGTACAGATTAAACAATTTACTAAAGTCCGTCGATCCGTTCGATTATTTTACGGGTGGATTGTCACAGCGACGTCCCTGCTACATTTTTGACTTTCCGTTAACAACCGATCGGGTGAAATTTGCGCTGCGGGATATCTCACTGTTGATCACTGTGAAATATTGCAGGGACATTCCGCTCTCTTGGGTGACCAATGATCAATTTATTACACGTGGTTATTTACTAAAATACATATGTTCGTCTGAAAAAATAACACACCAGCATTTGTCTCCTTAAATTTCTTAAGGGCAGATAATTGCCACCTTTTTTAAAATTTTAAACTTTAACGAAATTCATCGCACACTGTCAAAATTCAATTGTGCTAAAATACACAAAACACTCACGAACAAAGTAGCATCCATAAATAAATGAGATATTACGTGTCCATTGTTAAATAACATACACAAAATTCACATTTAATCTCTGGCACAGCGCTTCACGACAAACCTAACAACGTTTTCAAAACAGCTTAAAACTAGCAATTTAAAAGAAAGAAATACTTTTGTTTTCTTACAAGTATCCGATAATTACAACCGATCAAAGTTTAAAACTACTATTGGCTTATAGAATTGTCAATAAATGCACAATCACAAATTACGCGGATGAATATCATTTTAATCAATGAAAACTGCTCGGCTTTTTTTGTAAAGCTTCATATTATAATGATAGTAATTAAACTCCCCCTAAATGAACATTTGGTATTTAGACTTTCTGAAAAAAGGTATTAGGATGTTATGTTGACTCTAGGACAGGGACGAATTTAGAGCAGACGACGATCGATAATCAATTTCTACACCCGATAATTAAATCCATGTAAACAAAATGCTATTTTTAGCGATGTCCATTACCGAAGACTTCAGGGCATATTACACAAATAAATCTGACTGTCGAATAATGAAAATATACATGTCGAGAAGAATTTCGCTAAATTATTTACATCAGTGTTTAACAACAGGTTTATCGTGTACAAAATACTTCGAAATTAACAAGGATTACAAACCCGAAATGGAGATTCTAAATTTAGAATTGTTTTATTTTATTTTATTCGGATTTACTTTGTATAACTTCCCCATGGTGCAAGGGTAACGCGCTCATTTAGGGTGTGAGAGGTCTTGGGTTCAAATGCCAGTCAAGGCAACTATTTTTAAGTGTCTTTTTTAGGAAGTAGCCACGATATGCAAGGATAAAGTGTGGCTGTCATAAAAAATGAATGCAACTCTAGTCATGCAAAATTCCGTGTGTATCAAACTCAAACTGTTATAGTAAAAAAATAAACTTATACAGGAAAATACAGACAGATATACAGTACGACTGAGATTGCAAAGATCAGAAAATACCACAGAGCTTGCAGCATTGCTGAAACAACCATTTTTTGGTCCGGACAATAAATTTTTAAAAGTTTACTTGCCTGGGCGGGGCCATTTTTTCCCCAGGGCTTTTGTTTGAACAAACTTGGTAGACACTTACTAGAAGATAATTTACGCTTAATATCTAAACTTCAGGCCCGGCTTTCACTTACGTTCTCAAAGTCAAAATCTCATCTCAAATCTGAGATTTTTCTCAACACAGAAATTGAGATTGAGAGTTTTCTCAGTTTGGCATTCACTAAAAAATATTGAGAAAAATTTCAACTAATATTTGAGATTTTTCTCAGGTATATTGAGACAAGGTTTGGCTGTCTCAGATTATGTCTCAGTGAAGCTAAAACATTATTCTCAGGGATATTTTTACTTTCTGAATGGCTATTTTGATAAATAAACATAATTTGACCTTTTTTGCAAATAAAATTCCTATTAATTTCATATATTGAGTAATATATTAACTGATTATTGTGGGTGACATCATACGCTCTAATACATGACGTCATGAAATTATGACGTCACAATAATCATACTTAAAATAATTTATTACTGATTGCAAAAAAATTATCAGGATCTACATTCATTCTTGATGAATTATTTTCATAAGCATTCAAATATTCACACATTTGCTTCTTGGTGTTTTTGTTGTTGTTCTTTAAAAATAAAACAAGAAAGATATATCTGTAATCATTAATGTGATAAATATACAAAACATTTCCATGTTGCATCATTTTACATCAAAATAGCAACTATATACTCTGTAATAAAAAGAAAAACTCCATATCTTAGTCGTAGAAGCCCATCAATAATGCACACTAAGATTGATGTTGAAAGATAGCCGCTTATGTCTTGAGAAAAAAAGCAGTCTCAGTTGAGAAAATTCTCAAATGTTGAGAAAAAGTTTAGTGAAAGCCAACTTGAGATTTTTCTCAGGTGAGTAAGAATCTCAGTCAATATTGAGACAATCTCAAGTTGAGAGTTATCTCAGTTTGAGAACGTTTGTGAAAGCCGGGCCAGGTCTTTGCGTTTTTCAACAGAATATTTTTTTTTATCTTTTTACTATATACATAGAAGGAAAATCAATTATCCCCGAGGCGGGGCCAATTTTAACCCCAGGGTCCTTATTTGGTAGACACCCATTAGAAGATATTTCGTGCTAAATATCTTAGCTCTAGCTCTAAAGGTTTTTAAAAGAAGAATGTTTAAGTTTTTACTATATACATAAAGGGAAAAACAATGAACCCCTGGGGTGGGGCCAATTTGACCCCAGGGCTTTTATTTGAATAAACTTGGTAGACACCCACTAGAAGATGTTTCATGCTTAATAGCTAAGCTCAGCTATTTTGGTTTTTTAAAAGAAGATTTTTTAAGTTTTAACTATATACATGTAAAAATAAGGAAAATCAATGACCCCGCCGGGACGGGCCAATTTTGACCCCAGGACACTTATTTTAACAAAATTGGTTGACACTAACTAGATGATGTTTCATACCAAATATTTAAGCTCTACATGTAGCTCATACGGTAATCTTAAAGAAGATATTTTAAGTTTTTTCTTTCAGTTGCCATGGCAACCAGAGTTCTGCTTCGAATTAAATTCTTTGAACAATTTTCTAAAGTTGACTACCAAAGGAACATTCCTGTGAAGTTTGGATGAAATTGGTTTAGTGACAGGTGAGCTAAAAAAATAGAATATTGAAAATAATATCCACCACCGAGTACTGATTATTACTATCACAACAAATGAAGACATTTCAAAAAAGCTTTATTTATATATTTATCATGGCATAAACAGTAATATTCTTTGAACATAAAAAATAGTCAGGGCAATAGACCCTTTCATTTAAGACCGTATTCAAGTTGTGGCCCTTGGATGACGTCATTGGGATACGGTGGACAATGCCGATACGATTAAGTACATTAATAGAGGGATATATAGATCTTAATCCTTTCTCTTGTAAGATTGGCAGATTGAAATTGCCAAAATTTTGTGTAATTGAATAAGATATTACATAAAAAAGATGGTGAAATGAATAAAAATGTTTACTATAATTATAATATTGTTCACGATAGACCATATTCCTGGGTAACTGATCATGATTATACCATTTTCGTTAGATTCTTAATAATGAAAAATTTACCAGGCAGTTAAATCGTACTAACTTGCTTATACCAGAGATATAGATAATGTATCTATGTCTCTACCCAAAAGATATTTGAGTTTCAAAAATGTAAGGATTCTGTAGTTTCGAAAAACGGCTGCGTAATAATTAATTGCAAGATACTGGTTTATTAAAAAATCATTTTGATATGGGACATAAGATAAGCTTATGTCCCAGTTTTGATTTAAGCATTACTAAGACTAAGAAAAGAAAACAATATAAATCTATGTAATTTCAAAAAAAAAATGTAAAGGCATAAAAAGTAAAAATTGTTTTGAATGTACATGACTGTATACTATATGTTTCGGAAAAAATGCACTCTCAAAATCGTACATCACACCAATATATTTAAGCTGGTAAAGTAATATTTTCAACTTGATACTTTTTAATTCATACTCTGCTTATCAAATGTTTAAAAAAATCACAAAAAAACAAAACAACTAAAAAACAAGTTGTGAAACACATGCACAGAAATTCGTTATTAACTGAATTATAGTTTTACGTATTTTTGACTGTGCTAGTTGGTAGGACTCTGGTTCGAGTATCAAATCAGTAAGGCATGACCAATAAAGTCCCTAGGATGATCCATAACAAAATTCGGACCATAAATATTTTGACAACTAACAAAAGTGACGTAATCTGATGTAGTGTTATAACTCTAAAAAATGCACCCTGGTGATTTATGATATCAGAGCCAAGTGCCGCTTGTATATATACAACATAAGTACCCTGTTAATTAATATGTTACGGCCCAGTGCCGCTTATATTATTATCGTCTGTTGCAAATCTAAAATTTTAAAAGTCAATGCCACATGGTTTTCGTTCTTTCCGGAATATTTATGAAATTATATCCTTCACTGGTTCTTTGACA